TAAAATACCTGATTAGATTTGAAACAACTATTTACTTTAAGTTTTACTTCATTTTTTTTCTATTTTATGATTCAGACCAGATAAATGAGTAACTGCTTGAACAAAAAAAAAAAAAGAAAAAAAATATTTACATTCTCCAAGGAGTCCTGCTTTTAACTAATATAAATATGAAAAGGGACAAAATTTAATTTCAGAAAATTTCATTAATTAGGAACAGATGTAAAAAGAAAAATGTTTCTACCAAGATTTAAAAAATTTGTAAAAAGATCTGAAAATTTCATTAAAATCTAACAATTCTTTTAAGAATTTCCAAAATGTTTTTTACCGAAAAAAAAAAAAAAAATGATGCTAAAATTTCCAACCAAAATTTTGAACATGCTGGAAAGGATTAAAAAAATTTAATAAAAAATCCTTTGGTCTTTTTTTGTTCAAGACACACGTATATTAATCATAAGAACTGTGTGTGTGTGTATATATATATATATATATATATATATATATATATATATAAATATATAAAAAAAGGGGTTAACTTTTTGAGCCAAAATCTTTTTTTTTTTTTTCTTTGAACTAGTGCTGCAAACCGAAATTAAGTGTTTGCTCCCAGTGGAACAAGATTTGAGATTGGCCTCAAGTTCTGGGTGAAATATTTTTCTAACATCTACCATTTGTCCTTGCTTTGAATGCTTCTGCTATATATTTAGAGATGTCTGATAAAATATGAAGAAGGTCCTGACTTCACATCTGTGCATTTTTTATAACTACATTTATGGTAATTGTTCTGATGAATTCTCCTTTATGGGCATGGTACTAGATTAGCAGCAAGGTCTCATTTTACAATTGAAATGGCTAAAAATGTAACAATTTCTTTCACCTTCTTGCTTTCCAATCAACTTAAGTGTTTATTTTTATCTCATTCTCTAAAACCCAGTAATCCTTTGGTCTTAGTGGATTTATTGCCTTGCTTGATGACATTGTCTTTATTAAAGACAGTTAAGCTTATAATTACAGTCACTTGTCATTGTGTTTATTTTTTTGTTTGCCTTCAGACATTATGATTTTTTTTTATGTGTTTTTATAATCTTGTGCATAAATAATTTATCAGAATTCAAAAATTAAATTCTGTGCTCTTGTAAAATATTACTGGTCTTTATTAGTAAATAAACAAATCCTATAAATTCATACCTTAGGCTTTTATTCAAATTGTAAAAATAGGTTTTTGAAACAAAATTATCCAACTATTCCCATATCGTCCTTCAGTAAATTTTGACTGGTTCCATGTTAAACTTTGCCTATTTTTCAAATGTAGTGATTCCTCACCTGTTATTTTTAATTTTCATAGTAAACATGATAAACTAGCAGTCTTTATTCAATTCTGAATCAACAGGTATGAATAAAATTTATTTAGAAATTGACATATCATAATGGATTAATCTCATACTCTTTATTTTAGAATGAAGAAGAAAAAAATTGAGCTTTTTGGTAGACAGCATATTTTTACGCAAAGTCACAAAAGGGGGGGGAGCAAAAAAGAACAGTTAACCATTATTATCAGCAAAAAAAAAAAAAAAAACCCAAAAAACTTCACTGCCATAAAAATCCAATCTGTACCACATGACACACACACACAAAAAAAAATATATATATATATTCAAACAGACATTCAAAAAGGAACTGTTTATTTCATTCTTTTGTTAATTAATGTTACTTTTTTTTTTTGACCATTTGTTCAGTGTATGTGTAATGCAATTTCAACATTGGCAAATTATTGCCGTTTGCTTTGTTACATTAAAATTTCTCTCGCTTTGTTACATTAAAATTTCTCTCCCATGTAGTAAATTACTTCTGCATATAGATTTATAATTTTGTATTTTTTTTTTTTACAGCTTTGATAGTTGAATTTTACTCAAAATAATTTACCAACAATTTTAATTCATGTCAATCATAGCTTAGATGTGGCACCCAGTGAGGATCAAACTCACTATTCAGTCATTGATCTAGCAAGACAAGCTTGCTAACTATTACATCATGTCAAAATGCCCATCATATGAAGTCATCGTAGATGTGGATAAATATATAAGAAAAGTAAAAGCTACTGCTGTTACACTTTACAGATAACATTTTTTGAAAGCGACTGATTTATACTTTAATACCATGATAAACCAGTTTCCAAATAAAAATTTAAAATATAAATTAATCTAACAGGTTGAAGTTTATTTATCATTAAAACCAAAATACTGAGAGATCCTTGTACATCTAGTTTTTCATTTTTTTTCTTCTTTTCAAGGAAGCTGGAAATTATGTAATTTTTAATAGATAAAGAGAAGTTATTGAATATGAATAATTTATTCTTAGATTATTTGAAATGCCTTTAAACATGTATTCCTCTCTCTCCCCACTGAGCATACAATAATGACAGATGAAACAAACAAAGGAAATAACCTAGGATGACCAGTAACGTGAAATAGGACATTTAATACATTTATCTTTGCTATCAATTTGTCTCTCAGAGGAATTGATGAAGAATGTAAGAGTTACACTCCTTGATTGAGATAGGAAGCTGCCAAGTTACTTCCCTTATTGAACAGCGCAAAACCTCGATTAAAGTTTATTTTTGATAATTTCTGTTAAAAAATATATATTTAAAATGAATAATAAAAAAATCGATTTATTTACTTTACTTTTAAATTCCTTCCTCGCTTTTTAAATTTAGGGAATCAGGCGTGGAAGGAGGAATGGTTGGACAAACCACTTTAGAATCCTTTTTTTTTTTTTTTTTTTTTTAAAGCAAAGTAGGCGGGAATTGTAGTAGAGCCCCCAAAAAAAAAAAAAAACGTAGTGTATGCATTTATTGAAATGTTTAAAAACAGTACAAACGAAAAATACATTTTCTTAAATCTGTTGTGAATATTTAACAATAAACAAAAGTTGTTTGGTAAATTTGCTTTTTAAGCACCGCGCTAAATATCTATTTAAAATTTTCCCAAATTGTCTTATTTCCGTGAAAATGTACATGCTGAACTCGAATTAACAATTAAATTATGAAAAAATTATCGACAAGAAAAAAATCGGACTTCTTCTCGGTCATTCGTCCGCCATTACTGCCATCATTTTTAGTATTTTACTGCGGCGTACTTCCGTTGGCGTAAGCAGAAATTTTGGCCTATTTACTTCTTTTACAGACTTTCGGTGCAGAAATCCCTATGCACTGTTGTAAAGCATTTTTTTTTTTTTTGATAAGTGTAGTATTATTTATAACAAAACTTTAAACGAAAACAAATTCAATAATACAATAAAACCTGTTTTTCTGTGTTTATTTTATTTTTAAATCAAAAATAAAATAAACAGTTAAGGTTGAGGTCAGCCTAAAACTTAGGGGTCAGGGTTACTAACCTTAAACAAAAATTACAATGTTAAATTAGGTTGTTTTAATTTTAAAAATTAAAAAAAAAAAAACCTGCTTTTATTGTATTATTTAATTTGTTTTTGCTATAAATAAAACTACACTTATCAAAAAAATTATATTGCTTTACATTAGTAGTGATTTCTACACCGAAAGTCTGTAAAAGAAGTAAGATTTCTGCTTATGCCAGTGAAAGTACCCTGCAGTAAATTACTAAAAATTATGGCAGTAAGGGCGGACAAATGACCGACAAGAAGTCTGATTTTTTTCTTGTCGATAAACTCCAAAATGTTAGTCTTCTTTTTCATATTTTAATTGTTAATTTGAGTTCAGCATGTACATTTACATGGAAATATAATTTTGGAAAATTTTAATAGATATTTAGCGTGGGACTTAAAAAGCAAATTTACACTTTACAAAACCTGTTAATCAGGTTAATGTTAATCAGGTTAAATTAAAAAAAAAAAAAAAAAAAATTGAGCAATAATGATTGGGTAGATGAAAAATTCAATGACTTCTCTTCCAACACAGATTCTCAGCCATAGTTTCACATGGCGGGGGGTAAGATAAATTCATTGAATTTTTAGTTTAATTATTATATTCTAAATACATTTTATTAATAGATATCGTATTAAATTTTTATTTACTGTAAGTAACCTCAGCTGCTACACTTTATTTTTCCTGTAAAATATGCAAAAAAAAAAAAAAAAATTCTTTAAAAATATTTTAAATATTCCATAAATGCTTACACTACATTTGACAGACCCAGTATTTTGGAAAATCGAGATATATTCATTCTAAGCATGGAACTTGGATTTTAAGATTTTGGCAAGTTAGAGAAGGAATTTCAAGACTGAAATTGAAATAAGATTTAAATATTCCGAGTTGAAAGGGTTTTTCAAATTTGAAATATTTGCAGCTCTAAAGATAAAACATTTGTTTTACTTTTAAATAATTTTTTCTCTCATGGAGCAAAGCAAATTAAAGCGGTATTTGCAACGAAAGTTCTATCTAGACACTGGTAAACTGATTGCAGATGAGAATGCAGCTGAACAGATTTATCTCCCTTTATAGACTCATTCCAATCCTCTTTAGTGTTCTTTTTTTTTTTTTTCTGTATTCAATACCTGACCTCAATTTGGTGCATGACATTGCCTTTTAGACATGCTTCTTAAAAAATATCCAACAACATTAATATTTACCATTTAGAGAGAAAAAAAAATAAGACATGTGCCCACACATACACTTTCGTAAGAGTAAAAAGTACCAAAAAAAAAAAAAAAAATTGTTTTTCAATACAGCCATAACGCACATACAAAACAAGTTATCAAAGCATGAATCGTGATTATTTGGGCTGTCAACACGTTTGAATCATATTGAGATGAAGCAAAAATAATTTATTGCCCCATATGAGGTATTTTCTGCTCTTATTAGAGCAAATCTGTTATTTTTCTTTGACTTCAGAGATATTATTAATGTTGCCAAGTCTTTAAAAAAAAAAAAAAAAAATATGAGGTCAGGCCTCCAAATAATGGTTCCTTAAAATCACAAATGCCAAAACAATTATGGAGACGAGAGATAAAGAAGCGGTTATTTATCATAAAGGTGTTTCGGCAGCAGTCTTTGCTTGTACAGGAGATGTATCATCTCGTTCAGGTGAGCTTTGTCTACTGGTATCACTGTTACTGCCACCTTGATGTATTCCAGCATTACCCATGGATTCACAGCTGGTAACATCATGTCTAGAAGTTCGATCAGCTTCTGGATCTGGAATTGTTCCAAGAATAACATCGGCATCATTATCGACAACACCAACAGTTGTAGAAATGTTTTCTGGCATCGGAAACTGATTGCATAGTTCATTAGATCGATCATAAGAGGAAGGTTGCTGCACAAGTGTCGGGGGTGTTGCTGGTGGCGTTATCGCTGCAGCAGATGTGAGGGGCATGACTGCTGGAGGAGATGAAGAATTGAGCAAGCCCTCTGGATCAGTCATAGTTCCCTGTGATCGGCCAGAGAACAATGTGGGCTGGTCCACCGGCTCATTAAGGGATAGTTGGAAGTCACCAGTGGAGTCTAGAGTTCCACTAACATCCATGGAGGTGGAAGCTACCAGCATTGACACTGCGTCCGACACTAGAGATTCACTAGGGGCAGGATCGATCGGTTCCGGAATTGGATAGCCTTCTTCTTCATCATCAAATCCTGCCCGAGGGAGAGAAGGTCGTGAACTTGTCTGTGACCTATAAGTTGGTGGAAGTGAATTTGGATAATTCTCATTGTGATCTGGGGGGAAAACAATATGCACCCCAGTGCGAATAGTGCTAGCTCTCGATCGATATGTGGGAGGGGGTGAACTAGGCAAACTGTAGTTGTCTACGTTATTTATACTCTGTTGGTATTGCTGCATCAGCTGCTGTTGGTATTCTTGCATTGAGACATCATATGATGGTGGGGGTCGTCGGTACTGGAATTCAGGGTACATGATACCTGTAAATATTAAAAAGAAAAAAAAAATCATCCAATGACTGTTGTCTTTTTCTTTTGGATCAAAAGTTGAAAAATTAATTACTATAAAATCACAGTGTTTTTTTTAAATTTTTTTTTTTAAAAACTAAAGCTCATATGGCCCAGGAAGAAATGAAGATTATGATATGGCAGAAAAATAACTCTAAGACACTAGATTTTCTATCCTCCATATCCTCATTTCTTAATTCCTTTTTTTATGTTCATATGACACCTCATTTAGTAACCATACATCATAAAAATTAAACTTAAAATACCAATTTCCATTCCATTATCAAGCGATACTAAGAATAACTTTTTACAAATTGATTTCCTTAATTTATAAGTCCAGACAAGTTTGATTTTTTTCAGATATTGGGGTTAAGGAAAATTCCATCTTTTTTTATTTTAGGAATGTTAAGATTTAACTTATTTAGAAAACTCTCTCTCTCACACACACACACACACACACACACACACTTACAGTAAGGTTCACTCTGTACAATTTTCGGGGGCCACTTGAGGTAGACAGTTACAGAGTAAAAGATAGTCTATGCAGATAGGTGGGGGAAGATAACGGTTAACCCTGTATAGGTTAAGATTGTAGTGACCAGGGAAGCATCCTCTTGGGAGTTGGTTGCACAGAGCAGTGGTTCACAGGAAGAAGCTGTAAATTTTTATCTGAGATTTACCTATTTATCACCCAGGATCTGATGACTCAAATTTTGAGAACATTTAAATTGATGATATTTTTAAAATATTTTTCAATTATTAAGGTTCTTTCGGATTTGAATTTGAACTTTCTTCATTAGTTAGTAAGAAGTTATGTGCATTATCCCCTGCCATTACCTTAGATAAATTCTATTTTGATTATGAGAGAAGATGGAAGAAAAAAAATACTAAATCTAAACAGCATTCCTGATGTGAGAAAAAGAAAGCATGCATTTAATATTTGCTTCAGTCAAATGAAATGAAATGTTGGGTTGAACCGAGTTTCCGTTACATGGATCTCCTGATCACAGCACTGACATGCAGGGGGCTCACAGTAGTGTTCTTTATCAAAACCGACTACATCAGGAAGCAAGGGTTAAAAATAGATGAGAGAGAGAGAATATCATTGCCTTGTATAGGCTTAAAGAGTACCCCCCTAACAGGCGTTTTGGCAAAGCCAAGTGGGATAACCCATATTTCTTTCATAATTCTAGATAAAATATCATTTCTTGCAGCTGCTGCTTCTTTTCTCTTTCTACTTGATTGGACTGTTATCCATTTCCTTTTATTCCATTTGTAACTTATTTCTTTTAACTCTTTTATGATTTTTTTCAATTCATTATCGACTGGTTTCCAATTTTTAATGTTTCTTTCTTCATTTCCTTTGTTTCTCAATTCTTTTCTTTTATCAACAGAAATCTGTCTTTCTCATATGTTACCTTTCCTCCTGCAAAGGTTATAATTTTATGCATGCATTTCCACTGGTGTCCATGATCAGGTGCTTTTTCTGAATTCTTTCTTCTTCTCTAGTCTCATGAAATCTGTTTGAAGTTTCCATTTTTTTAAAGAACTTCTGTTGCATAGGGTTATACTGTTTTTGCCCTTTGTAACTTAATTTCAAAGATACTTTCAATATTATAAGATTGTGATCAAACTTGACATCTGCCCCACAGTAGAAATGGATGTCCTATAATAACGATTGCCATCTTTTACTTATGCACAAATTTAATTCTGTACTATTCCTTCGACATTGTCAAAGGAGCTTTCTTGTGAGCCATTTCAGAGTTAGCAAATCCAACAGACTGAGTCAGACAAAACAAGTCATCCTCGACCTTGAGGAATAGTCATGATGACAATTACACCCAGGGAGATCGAAGGAATTTTATGGATATGCTTGTGGGCAAACATTGTCATTCATTTTGCTGGCTGAATCGGGTAACCCTATCACTCAGGTTAATCTATATCTGTTACAGTTCAATTGGGTATTAAAGTCTCTTAGTACAAATTTGCTGTCATACTAGACAATATGCAATGATACATCTTGTTGATTGTCATATAGTCCTTTTCTTCAGTTACTGTTAGGTTGAGTCATAAGTAATTTCTGATTTTGGAAACCAGTTGCAATGACAAATGTATAATCCTAACAAACTATTCCTTAAATATAGCAGGTGATGAAAAATGGTTACATAAGACAATGTTCAACAAAAAAGGCACAGATAAAATGCCACAACTAAATCCAAAAGCTGAGTTCCATGAAAGAAAGGTATTGTTGTGTGTGGTGGGGGTATTATTTATTTAAAGTTCTTAAAATGTAGTGTAATATTAAATGCACATTTATATATTCAGCAGCTGTAACATGTTTATAAAAGTTTGGTTGAAAAGTGCCCTGTACTTGTCAATAGAAAAAAAAAATCTTGTTCTCCTCCATGACAACACACAACTGCTCTACTCAAACATGGTTATGTATAAAATAATGTTTAGAGTAGTAGGAAATATATAAATAAACCCATTTTGGATTATTGCTGAAGACATTTAATCTTAAAGGAAGCTTACCTCCATGCCAGTAGCCCTCTCGACTTCGTAATATACCATGAGACCGTACGTGATGGAGTATGTTGTGTTCTCCAAGGCCAAAAAGCAAATGGAGAGGTTCATGTCCCCGTGGAGTGAATTTCCATCCAACGATCACAACAATTACAAGTAATAAACCAAGACCTGAAAGAGAAAACAATGTTTTCATATTTTGCTGGAGTACAAAAATTTAATTACAGCAGTAAAAATGGACATGGTAAAGCAAGAAAAAAAAAATTACATTACCATAAAGTGGTAATATCTAACTACAACCTGACTGACAAAACAGTTGCTAAACTGTGTTTTATCAGGCCTCTCTTATCTGAAGGTAAGAAAGATGTGCAGCAACTAAAATGAAAACCAAAGACCAATTGTTTTTAATTAACAATTGTTTTTTTTTTTGTTGTTAATCATTTCATCCCAAAGACAGTGAGAATGCAGGGGTGGGGGTTACAGGGAGTTAAAGAGAATGAAAAGACTTTAGCAAAGAGAAGCAAGATATAACAGTTGGTCTTGTATAAAATAAAAATGAATTCAGTAAACTTCTTATTTGTTCACTTGTCTAAATAAACTCTTCTATATGAGCAAGCTTGCCTTAGTATCCTAAGTCTCCGGCCGATATGATGTTTCTGATCCAAGAGGGAGTTCTGTTGCCTTGACCGCTAGGCAAACGAGACCCGTACACTCAGAGTATCATGTCTGAATTGTTCCTGGGTTATTTGTTTCCTCATTAAGGGAGCTGGAGGAAATATTTTCTGGGTTTTGGTATTATCCACCTGATAGGATAGAGATGAATAACTTCGAAGGAGGCTATCATCAGTAATCCCCGGTGGGACCTGTTGGTGCCATGATGATGGGTACTGTTACAGCATTATCTCCAGGTGAATCAACCCAGGTTATTTATGCATGCATCTCCAATGGAGTGTATCTCACTGCCTACTAATCATCCATCAAACCAACTAAAGCAAACATGAAAGCAATTAAATTGAAAACGAACAAAACTTCCAACCCAAAAAAAAAAAAAATGTTGGTCCCATATATATATATATATATATATATATATATATATATATATACACCAATGTAAGGGGATTTACATTCCAACTTGCCAGAAGTGGAATTACATCTTCAGTCTAAACCTGACCACCTCGTATTCCTGGTTGAAATGGGTATCAATGCCTCAATCCCATTGTGGGAGCTCAATATCCTAGGCTACTCATCCAGTATAACAAAATATGACCACCTAAATTGCCATGGATTTGGTGCTTACATCAAGGAGAGGTTTCTCTGTGGCAGGGACACAACAAACGAGGACCCTGATCTCCCATATATGTGCTTCTGTATGTGACTTATCCATAATACCTCATTCATCTTTGCTCTGTATCGCCCTCAGGCTGAAGGGTTGGTAATCTTTGATTGAATATCAGAGAGTATTGACAATATCCTCGGCCAGCTTTCACATATGTGACGACTTCATTGTTCACCACAGAGAGTGATTAGTCCACTCAAACAAAACTGATGAAGAAGGCAGATATTGCAGAAACTTCTCTATTGCCTATAAACTAATCCATATCATCTGAGTCCTGGATGCAATGGGACAGTAGTTGAATGTCCTTGAACTTTTTCTAACATCCTACTTTGATAAATGCTTAGCCAAAGTTTTACCCCAATAGGCACGTCAAACCATTCCCTAGTCAGTGTCTGGATTGATTCCAAACCAATGATATTCCTTGATTTACCATTTCATAGAACTGCTTTTCACTATATGAAGGCAGACTGAGACTGCTTTCAATCCTATATGACGGAAGATCCTATGCCAATCTTCTTCAAACATGTTGCCCTCAAAACTGCTGTCATAATCTCTGAATGGATCCTTTCTGGAATGGAGTGTTTTATACCTCCCAAAAAATTCTAGCAAAAACCAAACAGTCTGCCTTGTTTCACCCCCTGAATGTGCTGCAGCCATAGCTCACCAGAACCACTACTTCAATATCTATAACAAGGAGTGGTGTAGTCAGGCCCAAAATGGAGTACTGTTGCTATATTTTAGCAGGAGTTTCCCAGTCCTCACTTTCCAGTCTTGATAGAGTTCAAAAGTGTCTCAGGGTCCTTGTTGGAAAAGAATTATTTTCCACCCTCTCACCTCTCTCTCATAGGCAAGATGTGGTGAGTCTCGCACTGTTTTATCGCTATTACCATGGAAAATACTCAGATGAACTACATTCCATCATTCTGCCAAATCTCTTTCCAATTTATATAAATGGTCTAAGAACATACTCTGGACATTAATGAATATCTATGCCGATGATATGATATATGGGCACACCTCTAAAACTCTTGACAATCAGAGATTGGCAGCTGACCTCTCTTCCAATTTAACACTAACTTCCCAGTGGTGGAAAAACTGACTGGTTACATTCAATGCCTTGAAAACCAAACTGGTTATATTACATCACCACCAATCAGACCTGGAACTACTGCTTGTCATGATGGCTCCGACCTCAATGTGAAACTCTTATATACGATCCATTGCTAAAGATGCAGGTAAAATGATCAGCTCCCTATAGTACCTGACTTCTCATGCTATTCACTACCTTTATAAGAGCCAAATTTGGCAAGAGTGCTCCATTTTAGGCCTTATTTGGGCAGGAGCTGTCCAGTCCTCACTTTCCAGTCTTGATAGAGTTCAAAAGCATCTCTGAGTCCTTGTTGAAGAAGAAGAATTATTTTCCACCCTTCAGCCTCACAGATGGGATGTGTTGAGCCTCTCACTACTCTGTTGCTGCAACCATGGAAAGTGCACAGACAAACTACATTCTAACCTTCATTGCTAAGAACCAACATGTCACTGACTATCCTTCCATATTCCACTGGCAAGTAGTAAGTTTCCCTCAAACAACTTCTTGTGAGAACAGATTCTCAATAGCATGTTACCCCAGTCACTACAATCATAACCTGTTCAAGTCTAGAGTTAACTGTTATCTTCTCCTCCTATCCATATAAAATACTCTTTAACCCAGGAGTGGGAAAACTGCGGCCCGCCAAGAACAAACAGATTTTTTATTCAATACTAACATGCCCACGCCGCCAAAAATAACAACTTAAAATTGTTAGTAAAATGACAAAAAAAAAAAAACAAAAAAAAAAACAGTAAATTTATATTGAAGAATGAGATGAAATAATACAAATAATAAAATTTTAACGGCCTATTATATTTAAAAAACGGGTGATTTTTATCCATAATTTTTTTATATACATTTTACAAAATTATATAAAATAATTGTTCAAAAACATTCATAAAAATTGCATATATCATTGAAACAATAGCATTAAAGTTACCGATTATTGCTCTTTTTTTATGATAAATTCAAATATATAACGATTTTTTTTGTATATATAATATAAATTATCAGAAAAAGATTTTAAGTCTTAATACATTTTTGTTAAATTAGTTTTAAAGTTACCTATTTTTAACTAAATTAGTAATTTTAATATATTTAACAATAATTTCTTAATTTGAATTTAAAGAAATAAATATCATTATATAAGTTTCATAAGTTATAAATCGAAGATTTTAAGATGTATTTTATTCCTTTATTTATAGAAAAACCGAATAAAATAAATTTTCTACTCAAAAATATTTTTTCCCCCGACTTCTCACTTCTACTTTGACTCAAAACACTGGATATCCGATTATGCAACACATAAAATTAAGTAGCGTGACATGACAAAAAATTTAAAAAAATAAATAACCAAGTACACATTTGTGATTATATATAGACATTATAAAATTGAATGTAAGCATTTATTTAAATATTCTTATCTCTGTCTCTTTTCTTGTTTTATATGTCTGTTTTTTTAACACTTTGTGTTTGTCTAGTTTGCTTATTTATAAGTGCTCGACGAACTGGATAACCAATTCTGTACCTGCATACATAAAAGTGGTTAATTTGGCAACTTGTTACCACGCCAATGACGCAATTTTTACTAATTTGACGTAATAAATCTTTTGTATTTTAACATAAATTTTACTATTTTATTTTGTAAACTGTCCAAAATGAGTTCTCAAAATGAGTTCTTCGAAGCCATCTAAAAAGCGAAAAATTGAAAACGAATGCCGAGTGTTTAACAAAGAGTGGATTGAAAAGTATTCTTTTACTGACATTGGAGGTAAAGCTGCATGTTTGATTTGTCCACAAACAGTGGCTGTGTTTAAGGAATACAATTTAAAACGACACTTTCAAACCAAACACGCCTCCTTTGGACATAATTTGTCAAAGCAAGAACTGCAAAAGAAGGCAAATGATTTGGTAAAATGTTTGAAGCAACAGCAAACTATGTTTCAAAAAACTTCAACTTTGCAAAGGAACACGACAAAAGTTAGTTTTATATTGGCCAATAAAATTGCAAAACAGAATAAGTCATTTGCAGAAGCAGAATTTATTAAAGATTGTATGGTTGATGCTGTCAGTGTTGTGTGTCCTGAAGTTATACCAAAAGTAGAAGCTATATCTCTGTCACAAAGAACTGTTGTTCGTCGCATAGATGCAATTGCATCAAATATTCAAGAACAGCTGTTAACAGCCAGTAGTAAATTTCAGTGGTTTGCTATTGCTTTGAATGAGAGTAATGATATTCAGGATACTGACCAGTAACTTATTTACATCAGAGGAATTGACGAAAATTTTGAAATTACAGAGGTGTTGTTATCTATGGAGTCTGTTAAAGATACTGTGACTGGAAAAGATTTGTATAGCAGTGTAATTAACTGTCTAATCAGGTCTAAACTAAACCTGGATAAACTGGCAAGTATTACAACTGATGGCACTCTTTCACTCATAGGCAAACATTGTGGATTTGTGACCTTAATGAATAATAAAATTAAAGAGCACTTTCCATCGCACAGTGCGTTATCTTTTCACTGTATCATACACCAAGAAAGTCTCTGTAAGACCTCTTTAAAACTCAAGCTTATTGTAGATCCGGTGATACGTGTAGTTAATTTAATAAGAGCGAGGGGACTAAAACACAGGCAATTCCGAAGTTTCTTGGAAAATATCGAAGCAGATTTTACTGATGTACTGTACCACACTAATGTCCACTGGTTAAGTATGGGAAATGTATTAAAGAGGGTGTGGGATGTTAAAGCAGAGATTATCATGTTTTGCA